TAGAGATGCTGTTTGTTTAAATAGTTATACAGCAATTTGAAAAAAATGGTATTTGATCATTAAAGGTGATTATTAAGAAGACCGTAGCTACAAATTGTACACGACAGGAAGTCTAGCATAACCAAAAGTGGAATGCAAAATTTGACCATTTCTGTTATAAAGAAAAAAAAGAACACCCCCCCCCAAATGGAAAGCAAAACACATTTGATTTCTGGAGTTCATCCATTCATTCAGCAAACCATTGCGTGGCACCTCCTATGTGGCACGTGGCAGGTAGCAGTGATTTTTTTTTTTCTCTCCTTGATTTTGAGTACATTATTTTGTTATCATTTCAGTATGGCAGTAAAATAATTCTAAGTGAATCAGCAGCCAGGATTTAACTAGGAAATCTGTAGAAATGAAAGACTGTGAGCTTTGGGCAGATTTCTGTGAACACAAGCACTCTTCCTCCTCAAGGGAAAGAACCAGGGGGGCTGCTAGACATCATGGGGACAGCAGGAAGGAGAAGCTGCCACAGAAGCGGTGGTACTAAGCACATCTCAGAGGAAGACCTGGGGGAACAGAGCGCAGCGGTGAGCAACCTGGCTGAAGGGGAAAGTGGAATCATAGTTTGATTGTTTTCTCCTCCTGATTTCTCAGGATGTCATCCTTCAAAACCGAAGGCTCTGGCTGTGGATCAAAAAGGAATTTGGATTCTCTTCTAAAAGTCAATATAGGAAATGGCAAAAAAAGCTGGCAGAAGACTCCACCTGGCCTCCCACACACAGAACAGATTATTCAGGTGATGGCGAAAATGGATTCTATATCAACCTCAGCTTTGAGGACCCTGAACAGATTCCAAGAGCAAAACTCGAATTGGGAGGTCAAACCACAGAACAGCATTTTTGGACGAGGCTGTAATCAGAATCATTGTTGTACATGCTTCACACCATCTCCTTGTTCCCTGAAACTAAACCCATGTGGAGAAGTGATGATAGTCTATCCTTATCCTTTCTCTCTCCATCGGAGGATTCAAAGTGCATTATCAATGTATTGAACCTTGCAAAAGAGAACCTTAAATATGCCTATTTGGACTGTATCCTCTGCTACTGAGGAAAAAGAAATGTACATCCTGGATTACCTTTTTTTTTTTTTTTCTAATAAACTATTCACATTGCATAGCATTATCCTGGCTAAAATGCACAAGTTCTCTTGGTAATGAAATTAAAGAGTATGAACATAGGTAGAACAAAGGAAAATTGAGGAAGAGTTTGATGATTGAAAGTTTCACCAAAATATTTTTATTTTCATCTCCAGAAATAAAAGAATTTGGGGGGAAAGCCTTTCTCTCAATAAATCATCACAAGTTTACTTCACCTTATATTCACTTGCGAAGATCATTTATGTGCATATCTTTTCCCAAGGTCACAAAATTCCTCTTTTTGCTTCTTTTGTATGGCTTTAACAGAGAAACAAGAATTGACATTTACTTCAGAAAAGTCAACTCTAACTGTAGTAAGTATGGGTGCGGGGACTGATGGAGATGTCTGTTAATTGCATATAATCTTGGCTTGGGCACAACTTATATCTAAGCAAACTCCACCAACGTTGGCATCTCCCAAAGTGTATTGTTTTGGGGTCAGAGAGCAAGAAAATCACAAAGATATTGGGATAACCTGTTAAAATGTACTTTTCACTTAAAGAAGCATGGCACTTCTATTTATTTTTTGCTACTGACAAATTAAACCTCAAGCTCTAGGTTGAAAAGTTGGTTCAATCTCAGCATTGCTCATCTTAAAAACAATCCTGGGGAAGGGACCCATAATGTTTGTATCTACAGCATGACAATCGTAGGGGATTGTCTTCAAACAACCTTAAGTTCCATTTCATCTTTTCATTATCTAAATCAATTATTAATGGCCACAAGAAAAGGTTCATCCTCGGCAAATATATTCTGCACATTATTATCTTTAATATATATCAACGTCACTGTGACCCGGAGAGGACATATATCCCTAGTGAACATTTTAAATTAGCTACTAGGCTTTCCTTATAACAATAAATCTGATTTTGCCAATTTAACAGATCTTTAATGGCTCACAGGCGATTAGTTAGCCAGTTCCATCCCGTGAATGCCAATTATGTGCCTAATACTGTGATGTATGGATTCCATAATGCTTTTACAATTCTGGAATCTTTAGGATTGAAAAAAATGTTTTTAACATTTCAGCAATGTATTACCCTAAATATTATTATATACTATGTTATACAAGCCAGCAGCATAAATGCCAATTCCTATAAGAATAAACCCTTTATATTTACATTTTATTTGCTTTTTAAAAAAATTTTATTATGTTATGTTAATCACCATACATTACATCATTACTTTTTGATGTAGTGTTCCATGATTCATTGTTTGCTTATAACACCCAGTGCTCCATTCAGTACGTGCCCTCTTTAATACCCATCACCAGGCTAACCCATCCCCCCACCCCCCTCCCCTCTAGAACCTCAGTTTGTTTCTCAGAGTCCATAGTCTCTCATGGTTCGTCTCCCCCTCTGATTTCCCCCCCTTCATTTTTCCCTTCCTGCTATCTTCTTCTTCTTTTTTTTTTTTTTTTTTACATATACTGTATTATTTGTTTCAGAGGTACAGATCTGTGATTCAACAGTCTTACACAATTCACAGCGCTCACCATAGCACATACCCTCCCCAATGTCTATCACCCAGCCACCCCATCCCTCCCACCCCCACCACTCCAGCAACCCTCAGTTTTTAACCTTTTCTTGGGTGCACAGCTTTGGAGAATGATAATTTTTAAATGTGTTTAATTTAGTAACTACTAATGAAAGTCAAAAGATGAAAAAGGTTTTTAGATTATGATTAAGGAATATATGTCAACCTAAAATATATGACAGCTCGGGTTCCTTGAAATGGCATATCTGTATTTAGTAATTTGACCTTTAGAATCAGAGATTCAATTGATACAGCATGACATTTAGATAACATAAAAAGATTTTTAAAAAACTCTTTATTCAATAAATGTATAGCTTCTCCCACCCAATTTTTCCAATAACCTATTTGTTATCTGATAGATGATGATATTTTTTTCATACACCTTTCTGTGTGTGGAGGGTTACATAATAAAGTTGAACTCTACACTTGACTTTGCTAAAAGTACTTAATAGTCTTGGAATAAATGTTTGATAAAGCACAATGAGCATGACCACATATCAATGATTACCTATAGGAAACGTAAACAAATAGTCTTAAGCTACCCATCATCAAGACTGGCCATTTTTATGGGAAGACTGATGACTAACTTTGTGAGCTTTCCTCTCAGGGTGAAAGCCAATGGAGTCTGAACATTACCTATGTGAAAAAGGTATCCTCAAATTCAATTTAAAAGTGCATTTGTGACATAGCATAGCTGGGACTGTCTTCTGGAGTGGATATGTCTAGAGTTCTCAAGAAAGGTTTGACTTGAGGATCCTAGGAGGTCCTCTCTGCTCCAGTTCCACTCCCTCTCCTCTCCCATTGGCTGGCATGGTAATTCCACCATACTCGAGTCTCCTGCCTTGGGTAAGATTTGCCCTCTGCAGTCATCTTTTATTAAAAGGTAAGTACACCTTGGGAAAGGTAACACATTAAACTGCTACCAATCTCACCCTTATTTGACAATCTTAGAAAATCTTTTTTGTTTTTTGGGGGTTTTTGTTTGTTTTTTTACTATTACTTGAATGCAGAACATAAAAGGAACAGGAAACTTAATTTAGAATAAAAATGAAGGGGTCATTTTGGACCATGGTATCCGGTAGAAGACACTCACACCTCCCAGAGGACCAGTGGAGGAAGGGGGAATTTGGGGGTTATCTGGAGACAGAATTGGTATCATAAGAAAGAAAAGAGATTAGTCAGGGAACAAGGAAGAAAGATAGGGTCTCTATTGGCCCTGACTGTAGCACATTACCCCTTCTGTCATCATTACTCTTAATGCTGCAATTAGACCATAGAATATTTCTGGCCCTTGGGTAAAACCTACATCAGCTTAATAGGTCCAAGACTTTCATTGAGTCTTCTGTTTACTTTATCTGCCACATTCCTAGTTCCCTGATCATACCCTCCCAGCCCCACTTACTTGAACTTTTCCTTTATTTAATGCCATGTTTTTAATTATGGCACAAGAAGGATGTCATTGGCTAGTTGTGTGGTTTGTAGGGTAATGTTGTAATGTCTGATACAATCCTAGGGTATAGAGACCTGCATTCACTTTTCTCCACCTGCTGCCAACAAGAATTCCACTGGAAACGTATTAAAAAGGAATTTGTTTCATTCAACATATAATCAATAAAATACAAGAATAAAATGACACTCCTTAACTTACAGTAAAAGCCTTAAACAGTAACACGGGATATTGTTTTCTAAATATGGCACTTTAACCCTGCATTAAATGATCTCTTGCTAAGGTTAAAAGGGTCAAACCCTTGAAATACTTCAAAATCCAAAGGGAATAATGTAGCTCTGTAGAAGTAACAGCCCACTCTTGCTTGTCACACACTCCTGACAAATGAGTCACTCCCAGGGAAATCACTGGATCTAAAACACAGGAGAAAAGAACGCTGTCTCCCATCTACTCCACCTGCATCTACACAGGAACTAGGAGGAGATGGGAGTGCACTCTCAAATGGATTGTTAATCAGAGCTCCTCAAACTGCCTAACAAAATTCTCAATTTCCCAGTTTCTTTTCTGACCAGAAAAGGAATATGAAGTTAGATGTCAATCTCAACAATTTGGGGCTCTTAACATTTCTTTTAAAATCACATATAAACGTTCTTCATTCCTCTGGCAAGTACAAAATAGCCACCCTCAGGAGAAAGGAAAACAATATTTATGGTAGAAGATAAAATATGATGTGATTTTGTTAAAATCCTCTGCTGGCTTGCTCAAAAGGCTACTGCTTCTTGCTTAAGCTGCCACAGCAAATCTTTGCTAGTAGGGAGAAAAATTTCCATGGCTCAATGACGAGATAATATCAGTAAGCAATTTATTAAAGAGCCTGCCATCCATCACTGGAATTTGGAACAATAATGATGCATTGAAAATAAGTATTCATCCCAGTTTTTTTTTCCCCTCCTCACAAATTCCTTCAGTTCCAATATCTCTTCAGTAAATCATTAATAGTATTTTGCTCTTTGTCTTTTTGGAAACAAGCCCAGGAGTGAAAAGGCACCAGCAGCAGCTGCCACAAACCCAATGGTACTTATTGCTTGGTTGGCCTATAAAGAAATGAGAAACAAACAAAAAACACATCTTATTCTAAAGGCATCTCTGTCCTAAACCCAAACTTTAGCTTGTTTCCTAAACTGAAGACCTTTTTAATGTACAAAGGATAAATTTAAAGCTTCATGCAAAATTGAATTGTGTAAGCATAAATAAATTTATAATTTTTATAATTATGACAAAGATATAGTTAAATACACATATATTCCTCATATTTTTATGGCCCCCAACAATTTGTAACTCATTATGGCACAATTCCTAATAATCATGGTAGTACATCTGGGAGGTCGTATTATTCCTGTTTTGCAAAACTTGGTGAGTTAAGTGATTTGCCTGAGGTCATACCAGCAAGATGTTTAGATATAGGTTGAGTCGTGAACCATGTATTTCCCCTCTAAACAATCCCTACCTCCTAAACACACACTGGTTTGGTTGGGTCTATACCAGGGTGAAAAATTTTTGTGTGTGTGTGTATGTGTGTGTGTTTCCTGACTTGAGAATGTCTACTAGCAAAATAATTCAGAGATGTAATCTAAGCTAAATACCTAGAAGCTCTTGTTTGGTAGATAAAATTTCTATTTTGATAAACAACCTTCAAAAGAAGTCGATAGTGATGTTAACTATTGTGTCAAAAATTAATTTTTCATGTAGACAAACTAAACCACTCTCAAGCTCAACTGTCCATAAAGGAGCTCAGACATTTATAGCTTTAAAGGTATTAATCATCCTCATGATGAGGGATCTAATGACTATTTATGATTTTCATGGCACTCAGCTAATATTGCCTTCCATCTGCATGAGTTTGAGTGCAATTTTATGACCCAAAGTTCACATTCAGATGCTTCAGAGTCATCAGGTACTCTGAAAACAACCATTGTTCTCCGGGATTTAAGAATCAGGCTTTCAAATAAAGCAAAACATTGCTCCCAAATGATTCTAGGGACCCACCCAAACGCTGGAAATCCTGACTCAGCTCACATTTGAGCATGCCTTCTGTCTAACCCACAGGCCTCCCCCACATCGCCTGCCACCCCCACAAGACTGCCACATAGTGCTACCTCCCGAACTGCAGCTTCCCTGTTGGAGACAGACCACAAAGGCCTGGCTAAGAAAGAAGCACAATGACAGGAGTACTCATTCCATTACACCATCCTGTGGTTTGTAGGTACAAGGCCTGTCATTGTAGCTCCCTGCTCTGCCACCATCCCCAGTTGCCAGGGAGAATGGCTTTGGCAAACAACTGACAAATCCTATTTTAGTTTACAATTCTAACTCTGGTTATTTTATTCATACTTTTTAATGAGTCACCACCTAAGTTATTTCCCAGGAAAGAGTCAGAATTTGCTGCAGCATAGAGCCACCCACTTAGCACATGGGGAGCCAAAGGGACAGGAAGATATAAAATATAGGACAAAATTCCAAAGAGGGACAAAATCAATAATCAGACAGGTATCGAGGATTATAAATCAAGCCTAACCCTCATATAATTTCAGGCAGATGCTGAGATCCCAAGAAGGTCTGATATGGGCAAATGTGGCAGGAAATGAACAAAGAGGAAGGTGCAATGGGTGTCTTTAGAAAGAGGAGTCAAATGACAGTCTGGGAAAGTGGCAGGATCCTGTGGGTAGGGTGGCCCCAGCTAAATGCAAACCTAACCCACTGGGTCTCCTTCAGCCACTAGAAACACAAGAGGTGAGAGAAATCCCACAGATCTAAGAGGCCTGGGGAGAGAAATGTGATCCTAAACCAAAATCCCCTGAGAGCACATAGGCCAGATACGATGACAAGGAAGCTACTTCCTACAGTGTAGTCAGTTTCCCAAATCCCAAACACTTATTACAAGTTTTAATCTAGATGGCAAAATTCTGAGTAATTCAGACAATCTCTTGGAGTTATGTGTAATGGGACTTGACCTGCAAGAATATAACATCCCAGAGTGTTCTCAGTGAACTATTATGAACAAGAGCTTTTATTTCACAACTTACTTAGGATTATAAAATCACCTAAGCTGACTCTTCACACTTTATCCTTTACAGGGTTTTCCGACTGTGGGAAAATAAAGGACTCATTCTGAGGATCTATACCTGCCCAGTGAAACATTAACTGAATCTGGAGTGCTTGCTATGTCCTGACATAGTGTAGCTGGGTCACAGATGACTGCAGGGCTTATCAGAATTCTTCTTCCCCTGAGACTCTAAGGCCACAGTGCTATGCACTGAAGCACAGTCAGGGTGTATCACAGGTCAGCGTGTCCAGGCCTATTCAAGGTCACTGCCATCTTCCACAAAGATAAGCACATTTTAATACCTTGTTAAGACTGTAACAGTGGAAAATGTCTATTTAAATTTTTTAAAAGACAAGCCAGACTAGAAAAAAACATTTCCAACAGACAGATCTGATAAAGAACTGTTATTCAAAATATGCAAAAGCTCTTAAAACTCAACAAAAAGAAAATGAGCAAGGAACCCAATTTAAAAATGGACAAAAGAATTCAAGAGACACAGCATCAAATATGGTATGCAGATGACAAAGAAGCATATGAAAGGATGATTAACTTCATACGTTTAGGGAATTGCAAACTAAGACAATGAGATACCACTATGTACCTAGTAGAAGGGTTAAACCCCAAAATGATTACAGCAAATGGTGAAGAAGACGTGGAAAAACAGGAACTCTCATTCACTGTTGGTGGGAATGCAAAAGGGTACAGTCACTTTGTAAGACACTTTGGTGGTTTCTTACAAAACTAAACATATTCTTACCATAAAGTCCAGTAATCATGCTCCTTGGTATTTACCCATAGGAGCTGAAAATCCATATCCACACAAAAATCTTCACACAAATGTTTCTAGCAGTTTTATTCATAATTACCAAAACTTGAAATCAACCAAGATGTTTTTTAGTAAGTGAATGTACATCCAGACAATGGAATGTTATTGAGTGATAAAGAAAAATGAGCTATCAAACCATGAAAAGACATGGAGGAATTTTACATGCATATTCCTTAGTATGCATACTGCTCAATGGTTGCCAGAGGTTTAGAGGGAAGGAAAGATGAATAGACAAGCAAAACACAGAGGAATTTTAGGGCAGGACAATTATTCTGTATGAAACTGTAATGATGGATATATCACTATACATTTGTCAAAATTTATAGAATGTACAACACTAAGAGTGAACCCTAATGTAAACTATTTTAGGAGAGGCAAAATTTTTCCTGTATCCACCTTAGTTTCTCAGCTGAGGCTTGCTAATAAAAGACAACGTTACAGAAGAAAACCAAGAAGTTTATTAACATGTTCATCTCATATATATATACATGGGAGAAACTCAGGGAAGAGTAACTCAAAGAGGTGGATTAGAATTCAGGGTTATATAGCATCTTCAAAAAAGAACAATAGATTTGTAGAGTAATGACAGGACCAAAGAAAGCAGCTTTAGGCTTCCCCGGGCCAGCAGACCATGGGAAGGTAAGTATATGGGAAACTAATGACAAAGGCTAGTTAGTTAAGGTTGTCATTTAGATTCCTCTGATGTCCTCTCCAGGCTAGGAAGAATCTTAATGATAACCATTGGTTGTCCTGGATGATTTGCTTTTGTCCTTCCTGCTAGAGAAGGGAAGAGGGACACCTTTGAAAATGTATGTCCCACTTTTAGGGTCTGCTGCTCAACTGCCTTCAGCTCGAAATAATCCTTATGCTACATATTTTGGGGTGACATATTCTGGATTCTTCACTATGGACTCTGGTGGGTAATGTGTCAGTGTTGGTTAATCTTTTGTAACGTGTATACCACGCTGATGTGGACTCTTGGTGGGGGAGGCTGTGTACATGGCTGATGGGGAAGCTACGGGGGAACTCTCTAAACTTCCAGTTCAGTTTTGCTGTGAACTGTATACTGCTCTAAAATGTAAGGTCTATTATTGTTTTTTAAATACAGAAAAGCACAAAGAAGAAAAAGATGAGGCCACAATCCTTCCACCTTTCTAATCTTTTTAAATGCATCTGCAGTTTTTTAAATTAGGAGAAATACATAGCCATCCCCCCCCAAAAAAAACAGTTCTGTGCTCAAGACCCCAAAGCCATGAGATCTAAAATGAATCCAATATTAGCTATTATTAGTAATAATACTATTAATTATTGATAGTAATGAAAATAATAATACAAGTGCTATAGTTTCTATCAGAAGATTTTATTGAAGAGTACCAACAAAGATGTATAAAATTCTTAAAATATTGTAATTAAAAATAATACTCATCTAAGTCTTACTGGCTCGGGAATGGATAATATGTAATACAGTGTGCTAACAGACTTCAAACATCTCCAAAATCCTCCAAACCTCAGTTTATAGATTAGGAAACTGATAAACAGTGTTCCCTAAACCACCCAGCTAACACCTGGGGAAGAGGAGGTTCTAGCTCCAGTCAGCAGAATTCCAAAGTTTAGATGGCTTCTAAAGCCTGTCACTGTCTTCAACAGAACCTGCTAGAGAACAGTTCTAGTTGTTGAGGAATGATTAATTTTTCATGGGTCTTGATTCTGGGTATGAAAGGTGAAAAGATGAGGGATTGTAAATTAGAGTCAAAGCAAAAAGATGGCTCTAATCCTTTTTTTTAAGCCACATTAAAAAAAAATTGCTTGTTGACACAGCGGACAACTTTACCATTTACAAAGGAGAGGGATGGACTCCATTTCCTAGCTCTACCACTAGTTTTCAATGCGAAGGTGAGCAGGAATTTGTGTGGACATCCTCTGTTCTGGTTCAGAAGCAATTTATTGTTACATGTGAATAGAACATTCATTATGTTAATGTATTTCCTAGTAAAAATGAATTTCTAATTAAATTTTTTCCTAATGAAAACAAATGTATCCTTTCATTATGTTCCCTTTCCTATCTTCCCAAGCTTCTGTGAGAAGAATTGTAAACTCACTCCTTAGAATAGACGTTTATATAATGGATTCAACCATTTCAAGATACCGGGAACCTTTATTCATTCTTTTATATCACTTTAATAAATCTTTAGTTTAAAACATCAATGTTGGAATTGGATTTGTGGTATGATAGGTATAAAGAAGGCAAATGAATCAAGCATGGTTTTAGTTAGGAATCTGCCATGCTACAAAATAGTGTGAGAAATGACAACATTGCATGCTATTTTAAAAATAATCGATCCATTTTTTTTTAAAAAAAAATCATCCAAAAGCTCAATGAATCAAAGGATCTGCTTCAAAGCACAAAATTCCTTTGAAACTAGCATTGCAAGGAGACAGAAATCATTTTCAAACCCACCAAAATATGTCTGTCATTAGTTGGCCTCTCTCAGCTAATGGAAAAGAATCCCAGAGTTACCATCTATGTTTTTGGCGAATGAACTCCCACTTAAAAACGTCAACATTCCTTTCAGAATGTTCCTTTCAGTGTGTGAGGTTACTGATTTGAGAGAGCTGTATGGCAGGGAAATGGGAAAAGAAAAGAAAAGAAAGCAAAACCAAACCAAACCCTGAAGGACAAAGGGCACTAAGACTGACAGAAAAGCTATGGTCTTGATTCTGCTTCAAGTCCCTTCCAGTCCCAAATTCATGATGTCCACGTTCTAGCTTTAATTTGGCCATTAACTTGCTACATGACCCTGGACAACTCGATTCTTTCCTTTATCCTTTGGAGTTCTCATATTTTCTTGTCCTTTTCATTTTGTTTGCAGCCTGGGAATCTTATAGTCAGTAGTTATTATTTTTCCAGTGTAAGAAGCTTTTTATATATCTTCTAAAGGAAACTCACCTGCTCTGAAACTCCTTCTCCATAACGAAGCAAAGTCACAAAATGCTCACAGTTGTTGACAAGTATGTCATATTCCACCTCCTGTCCAATAACTGTCTCTGACCGTTGCATGACTTCTTCCACAGGGAGAGGGGAGTAGGTCCCATCATATTTATTGTTTATTCTGTATGTGTCATTTCCCACAACATCCCTCAGCAGCTGCATCTTCACCAGGGCCTTCCTGCTGAATACAGACTTGGCGCTTGTAAATGATGCAGAAATGCCATCCTCTACAAGGAGAATTCTGGTTAGCAAGATCGAGTGACACAACCCAGTGAACCCCAATGCCATAAAATTGCAATGCCTCACCCTTGGAAGTGATGGAGTCACTGAAGCCACTGAAGGAAGCTCTGTTCCTAACTTATCACCAAACCAGAGGCCACTTAGTCTTGCCAGACTGAACAACTCATTCAGTAGTTTATCAATAACAATACAATATGAGTGAGAATATAAGGAAACCCTTTGAAAATTTGTATCTGCCCATAGAGCAGACTGGGTGAGAAAACTAACCACTCTTGAGGAATAAGATCTCTATCAGTTGGCATTATTGTTAGTGATCTTGGTATATATTCCTAGCATAGCACATCTAAGATCACTGTCCACCTTCTTCTATAAAACATGCTCTTTTTCAGCATCTGATCCCTTCCAAACTAATATCTCTGGACCTCGACAGTTGTGTCTTATGATTAGTAAGCTCATCCCAGTGTCAAATCTGTGCTCCTTACCCCTTCCTCTGCTTTTTATACCTGTCCTTTCAACTTGGCTTCAACTTGGGTCCAAATTTGCATGGTATCTCAGTCCTCTAAAGGGTCAGCTAGGGTCAACTGGGGCCCTGCTTTTGTCTTGACAGTTCCTTTTGGCCAAGAAAGTTTCAAGTCCTGAAACTGAACCTAACCTAGTGGCTGCTGTCCACTAGATGTGGCCCCAGGCTATGCCCACCTGTTACATGCCCCACCTCCTGCCACTCTGTTTTAGCTACCTTAATTGGCAAGCATTTGCCTAGACTGCCAGGGACCATTGTCTTCCGGCTGCCACTGTCAGTATCTGAGCCTGGACAGATGATTGTTCAGTGTTCAGCTCTAACATCAGGCCCTGGTCCCTCTCCATCTGCTCGAGACTGCTATGCTTGGCTATTTGTTCAAGTAAATCATGAGAGGGGGAGTCTCCATATAACTGGTGTTTAGACACTCTTCCTTTTTCTACTCATTTTTTCCTACCTTCCAAGCTCCTTTTCATTCAAGCAGCATTTCCAGGTAATATCTTACACATTGAAAGTTCTCAAAGCATATATCTCCTAGTTAGAATTACTAAAATTTAAAAAAACTAGTCTGATGCAATCAATTTACAGATGAGGATACTGAAGCATGGAGAGGTAAACTGGGTTGCAAAATATGATGTGAGTAGTTAACAACAGAACCAGGAACTGGATTTCAGTCTACAGGATCAAAGCTCCATGCTAGAACCACATTAATATGGAGCTTAATGCATGAAAATAAGAACAGAAGAATCTCTTTACTATTTTTTAGATGTTAAAACTGCAGAAATAATGTAGCATTGCTTAATGTTAATCACTAGACTCTGCAGAAACTAATGGCTCTTTATCATAAATGTCACTTTATTTGCCATTTCTATTTCCAATACTCTAGAACAAGAGGCAAATATCTCAAAATGTTGCAAAACCCACTCCATTAAAAATTCTCAGATGTTTCCAAAATAGTAAGACTAGGATTATTAACACTTCTTTTTAAAGATATCTTGAAGAAAAAAATGTTCCAGTCTAATTTAATTGCATACATTTTTTCTTAAAAAAATTAATTTGTGCTTATTTCTAAACATTTAGGAAATACAGAAAAAACCACATAAATATGTAGATATAAATCACCCATTATCTACCCACCCAGAATTAACTGTTATTATTTTGATGTACTTCTATTATGTCTGTTATTAACACATGTATACAGATGCGTGTGTATGTGTGCATTCACGTGTATATATTATTTCTTTGCAAACTAGGTATGATATTACATACTGCATTTTTAATCTGGAATTTTCAAATAAATATCATGCAAGATTATCTCTCATACAATTAAATGTGGCCAGAAATAAGGTTTTTTAATGGTCGTTATAGTAGCTGTTGGCCTATCTAGCACCCCATCCCACAACTGTCTCTTTCTTTCTGGAAAAGATTTTGTGTGGGTCAATTATAGTATCTCATTCTCCTGGGCACAGGGATGATCCAGTGATGAGCATGGGATCCACACTAGACCAATTAGGATTATTCTCCATGCTATTTCCTACTGGAACAGGCAGGGATTAGCTCTCTCCTATTGTGTCACAGGAGTGTAAGAATGAGAGCCTGAGGATATTCATGGTTATTGGTTCAGCTTCCTAGAGAGACATTGTCTGAGAGAATTAAGACAACATATAGAAAGAAAATGCAGATGTGAGGCTTGATAATCATGTTCAAACCCCTACATGCAGGCATCCCTGAGGCCAGTACCATCTTTATCCTTTTTTGTAGTTTCCCTCAGTGAAGCAATGAATTTGCCTTTTTGCTTAAGCTAATTTGTGTTTGTTTTCTGTTACTTGCAACTAAAGAATTCTGTCAAGCACAGAATATTCTAATCTGTGGCAAAGTCATAATTCATTTAACTAGTCCCCTATTGAACATTAATCCACTGTTGATTTCTTTTTTGTACCTCTTAATCCCTCTCACATATTTCACCCATCCCCCTATCCCTCCCCTCTGGCAACTACTCATTCACTCTCTGTATTTATGAGTTTGTTTCTGGCTTGTTTGCTTATTTTTGTGATTTTTTTTTTTTTTTAAATTCCACATGTAAGTGAAATCATATGGTATTTGTCTCTCTCTGTCTGACTTATTTCACTTAGCACAATACCCTCTAGGTCCATCCATGTTGTTGCAAATGGCAAGAACTCATTCTTTTTTATGGCTGAGTAATATTCCATTGTGTATATACCACATCCTCTTTATCCATTCATCTATCGATGGACACCTAGGTTGCTTCCATGTGTTGGCCATTGTAAATAATGCTGCAATAAACATAGGGGTACATATATCCTTTCAAATTAGTGTTTTCATTTTCTTTAGGTAAATATATAGTAGTGGAATTACTGGATCATAGGAATTTCTATTTTTAATTTTTTGAGGAACCTCCATATTATTTTCCACAGTGGCTGCACCAGTTTTCATTCCCACCAACAGTGCAGGAGGGTTCCCTTTTTCTCCGCATCCTCACCAAACTTGTTATTTTGTTATTGTCTATATTTTAAACTGTTATAAATGAGATAGAAGTAAACACTCTTATAAAGAATGTTATTCTACATCTCTATAAATATTTCTGAAGAATAAACTCATAGAAGTACAATTACAGGGTCAGAGCACATGAACTCTTTTAAGACTTTTAATACACATTGTTACACTGTTTTCAGGAATGATGTTAGTGAATTTCATTTCTTTCAACAGTATCCTTGTTTTGATTTCATATAGCCTTATCCACACTGACTGCTATCATTTTTAAATATTTGCTAATGTGATAGTCATAAAATCTGTTATTTTATTATACAATTCCTAGATTACTACCTTTAAAGACAGGTATTGGCTTCTGCTTTTCTTCTCCTACAAACTGTTCATAGTTCTTTACCCATTTGTTTGTTGGGATTTTGGTGTTTATATATCCCCAGCATCTAGAGTAGCATTTGGCATATACTGGGTAATCTATAAATAAATGTTGAACAAATTGAAATAATTTGTGTGATATATAAAGACAACAACTCTTATTATGTTTGTGACAAATATTTTCCCCAGTGGATTATTTACTTTTTAATTGTGTTTTTATTTTCCAATCCAGAGGTTTTAAATCTTAATGTTAAATGGTCTTTGTGATTTATCCAATGCCACTTTGGTCTTAGTATGTCCTTCCCTAAACCTTTTTCAGATAGATTTATCTACTTTCTATATTTTGTTTCTATTTTGTTTTATTGCATGATTTCATTCATGATTCCTTCTTTTTTTTTTAAGATACGCCAATCAAATTTTTTTAATTAGTGTATGATGTATTATTTGTTTCAGGGGTACAGGTGTGCGATTCATCCGTCTTACACAATTCACAGCGCTCACCAGAGCACATACCCTCCCCAATGTCCATCACCCAGCCACCCCATCCCTCCCACGCCCCTCCACTCCAGCAACCCTTAGTTTGTTTCCTGAGATTAAGATTCTCTTATGGTTTGTCTCCCTTTCTGGCTTCGTCCTGTTTCATTTCGAGAAAACTCAAAAGCTCTCAGGAGTTGCTGGAAACAAACCTTACCTAGAGGTGCTACGTTGATAACATAACCATCACCCAAGTACAGCGCCCAGTGCTGATAGCCAGAACGAAATACTTCAATCAAGTCCCCTGGCTGGGGCTTACCAGGATAGCTCAAACTAAAACAATCATTAAACGCCATCTGCAATGACAGACACAAAGAAGATCTAGCTGACATGACTTGCCAAAGAAAATCCGTTTAAGACTACAATAGAAGTATACGGATACAGAATTTATTGGGACGGCATTCCTTATTAAAGACTTTAAACTCACACCACTGTCCTTTTCTTTGAATGATTCCATTATGTGCGCACAAGTGAAAAAGACGTGAGAAAGAATTTTATCTGTTAATTGCTTAATTTTCTACAGCAATGCTTCTCATCCTGATCAACCCCAGGGCTCCTTTACAATACTAAGCATTTTGTAGTTCTCTCTTTAGATCCAGAAATTCATACATAATATAATTTACCTATATACAAAATTTCAGAAGTATTAATAGGGTGCCCTATTTGGAATAGAAAGGGGAAATAAATTTATAATAATATCCATTTTATGTAAACACTAAGTCCGTGACTGTACCAAAAGCTATAATAAAGTGTCCATATGCTTGCACTTACTTAGCATGAAAAAGTCAGCCTTCAGAAGCAGAAGATGAGAAGTCTTTCAGCCTTTCATATATCAGCACAGTAAAATCAACAAACAGGGAATGAGTGGATACTGATATTCTGTGCAAAAAAATACCTTATATTGCAAACTTACTCTATCATTTAACTTAACCAGAGATAAGTTCCAGGCTCAGATGAGTGGCCAGCCAGATATTCAGTCATACTGTAGGAAACAGGACACTTCTTCCTTGTGTCAAACTCTACTGTGCAGGAGTAGACACTTCAGTCTCTACCCACTAAACATCAGTAAATGCTCTTTGTCATGTGACAACCACAAACATCCCACAGATTTCCACCACTCCTCTACTGCTTCACTCACTGTCTGATTCTTTACTTACTGATTCCACAAACAGGGTAAGGGAGCCATTGTAGAAGTGAGACAACTTGGAAGGCTGGGGAGTTCACCATGCTGATGAATATGTCTGAAAATTCTAAGTTTGGGTGAAGTTTTTCTTTTTCTTTTAAGTCAATACTTTTCAGAAAGAACATATAAATCTCTGACGGTTGATTTTTATGGAAGGTTACATTTTCTCTGTATGTATGGCACGGAAGTAGGATGACTCAGCAGGCGGAAGCTAGAGACATTCATCAATACTCAAAAGGAGATTTAGTGCTATATCCATGTTGAATCTCCCATTGACAGCAGAGTTTCTCATCATCTCTCACTCTAATATAGATATGTATGCTCATTTACAAAATAAATCCAAGTGCCAGAAAGGGAAATTTCCAAGCCATCTAAATTATAATCCTAATAGCATAGGCTAAGGACTTGGGAATACAGACTATCATTTTTCTGGCACTCTAAAAGTCTTTTTTACAACACTTAATATCAGGAGGGGGTTTTCCCAAGTATTTGTGTGCCATCTGTTGAAAACTTCAATCATCACACTGTCACAGAAATGCAGCCAAATGTAAGCTGTCCATCTGCTGAAAAATAACTATTAAAACAACTTCATGGAAACCATTAAGTCTAACCACTCTGTCAAATATGTTTGAGTCTTATTAAGATGGAGTTCAGATTTTGGTCACATGGGCACTAAAAGGAAAAATAGATAATATACTATGAAATAAACACATTTCCCATGAATAGGATTCAGCAAGCACACACAGCTGCCTACTAGAATTCAGGGACCTAGCCAAGCTTACAATAATAATCATCCTTTGAACAGAGAGCACTTTGTAGTATAACACTTTTTTTTTTCAAATGCACTATCTCAATTAACCCTATTTAACTTTTTAAACAACTATTTGAGCTTATTATGTTGTTATTCCATTTTATAGAAAAAAATATACAGTAGCTAATGCCAACTTTTGGAAAATACCCATTGAAACCTTCATACAGATCACTTACATTGGGTTACATCCCAATAAACCCATTGTTAGTTGAGAATATCATAGGTCAAAATGCATTTTATTCATCTAACCTACCGAACATCATAACTTAGCCTAGCCTACCTTATACATGCTCAGAACACTTTCATTAGCTTACAGTTGGCAAAATCATCTAACACGATGCCTGTTTTATAATGAAGTGTTGAACATCTCATGTAATTTATTGAGTGTTGTACTGAAAATGAAAAATGTGGTTGTACGGCTGTGTGAGTACAAAACGGTTCCCGATGCTGGGGTAGTGGTGGTGAGCTGCAGTGACCAGGCTTTGTGAACTGGCCAGAGCTAGACAGCTGAATGGTAAAACAGAGGTGGCTGTTGAGAAAGTGGCTCATGGCTTTTGTGTGATTTTAGTTTCTTATCCTTTAGTTTCTTATCCTTTCAGCCACAATAATTCTGGGAAACGGATATTCCACTGCATGACTTTAATATACTTAACACATTTTCAATTCTGACATATAGTTTGTAAACTGATTTATGAAGTGTAAGTTAATTGATTTCATGAAGCTTATCATATTTATAATAAAGGATGGTAGGATAACAAGGAAAACATTTCATATGAGTAACCACTCAAGAAACTAAGGGAGGAGATTGGAGGCTAATACGTAAGGGAAAAGTGAGCTCTGGCACCAAGCGCTAAGAATCACAGCAATTTACTGCAGGAAAGCACGTCGGACATTACCTAACCCACTGCTCTCCAAACTTGTTTTTAGCAGCAGGGCCCTGAGTTAAATCAAATATCAGATGGACCCACAAAAATGTAAAACACAAAAGGAGCTCTGCCCTGGATGAGGTCAGGAAGAAATTCTAGGTATGGAGTTTGAATAACACCCATCTAGTCCTAGCACAGCCCCTCATTTTCAAGATAGAGGAAATAGTAACAGGTGGATAATTTGACTTGCCAAAGGTCATATGCTATTTTCAAAAGATTTTCAACAAACAGTGGGAGAGCAATTGAATATTCATTGCAAAAAAACAACAGACAAAACAAAATACAAACCTCTACCTAAGTCTCATGTCTTATGCAAAAAAAAATTTCAAAACAGATCATGGAATTAAATGTAAAACTATAAAACATGGTGGGGGGGGAAGCACATAAAAGAAACTCTCCAGGATCTAGGGTAGACATGTTCTTAGTCTTGATACCAAAAGTACTATCCATAAAAGGAAAAACTGACAAGTTGACGTCCTCAAAATGTAAAACTTTTGCACTACAGAAGATCCTGTTAAAAGCTCAAGAAGACAAACTACAGAATGGGAGAAAACATTTGCAAACCACATATCTGAGAAAGGCCTAGTATTGGGAACATAGAAAGAACTCTCAAAACTCAAGAGTAAAAGAGCAAAGAATGCAATTAGAACATGACCAAAAGACACAAAGACATTTCACCAAAGAGACACAGATGTCAAGTAAGCCATGTTAAACATCATTAGCCATTTGGAAAATGCAGATTAACACCACAATGGGATAGCATCACACACTTATCTGAAGAACTAAAATAAAAAATACAGACCACAGAAAATGCTTGCAAGGATGCACAGTAACTATATCACTCATTTGCTGGTGAGAATATAAAATGACATAGCCACTCTTGAAGCAATACAGCAATTTCTTTAAAAACTTGTAACTACCCTATGATCCAGCAATGTACTCCTAGACATTTACCCCAGAGACTGAAGACAATGAAGACTTATATTTACACAAAAACCTGTACATGAGTGTTTAGAGCAGCTTATTCATAATAGTCAAAAACTGAAAACAGCCCAGGTGACCTTATAAAAAGGTGATCTATAAAAAGGTCACCTGCTCTACATTGTGGTACAGCCATACCATGGAATACTACTAAGGAATAAAAAGGAACAAACTATTGATAAATGCAACAACCTGGATGAATCTCCACAGAATCATGCTGAGTGAAAAAAAGCCAATGCCAAAAAGTTAGATACTGTATGATTCTATCTATAGAACATTCTTGAAATGACAAAATTATAGAAATAGAGAACAAATAGTGGTTGCCAGGGTTAAGGAAGTGGTAAGAGGGAAATGGGTGTAGCTATAAAAGGGCAACACGAGAGAGTCTAGAGATGATGGAAATGTTCTGCATCTCGATCACATCAATGCAATAACCTGTCTGTGATATCACACTACAATTTGCAAGATGTTACCACTGGGGGAACTGGGTAAAAGTACAAGGGATCTCTCTGTGTTATTTCTTACAATTGCATGCGAATCTACAGTTAGCTAAAAACAAAAATATTAGTAAAAAAAAGAGACCAAAGCTTTTTTTAGATATAGGACATAGAAGAGGACAAATATTGAGGCAGATTTCAGCTGTGTATGAGGAAAACTTCCTTGAAAGTGATCCAACAATGGAACAGAGCATCTTGAGCAGATAGCAGGCTGTCACTGGGAATGTTTAAATACAGTCAGGGTTGATAAAAATAACATTCCCACAGTGGTGGTGGAAGGCGAGGGTGATTAGGGTAGGAGACCTTGTAAGGTCCCTTTCAGCTCTAATGTTCTCTCCTTCTGTTTCCCGGGAAGTGTAATCCTCAAATCAACACCATAAAGTAGAGATAATTATTTCCCCCATTTTAAAGATGAGGCTTATGACGTTCACAAGCAGTTCAGGAACTTACCCAAAGTCACACAGTGAGAAAGGGCAGAACCCACACCTGGCCCCAGATTAGCCTACCTCCAAGATCAGGCCCCTGCTCCTAACTGCTTCTCCTCATTCACACTGTACTGCCTCCATTACTGACTTTTCTGCAGCACTTCTAGCACACTGTTGGACCAGTTAGCAACTGTGAGCTGGTTATTATGATCACCATCTTACAGAGGAGGAACCTGAGGCTCCAATGAGTTACCTATCAGACCTAAAGTCACAAAAGTAGTAAGTGGCAGAGATAGAATTCAATTCCAGGTATGTCTTCTTATTCCAGCCTGCACGCTCCTTCTTTATTACCACTGATTAACATCATTAACCAAAGGAATTGCTACTAAACAACATTTCATATTTTCCCTCTTCTCAGAAACCCATCATATGGAGAAGCTGCGAAAGCACACAGAATGTATATTTCATGTAACAACACAGAAAGTTTTTAAACATTTATATGCAGAACCAGAGAGTAATGGGAAATGGACCTTGGGGAATCCCTAATCTTCTTCAGGAGAGATGTCAAGGTGGGGCTAGAAGCATCTAGAAGGCGCCTAGACTCAGATCTTAGATAGACAGCTATAACCTGTCTGCTTGGGTAATTTGATTTACATGGACCGCATCTACCCATTTCACTTGGGCACAAGAAAATGTGCTTCATAAACATGGGATGACACAGAACCAATGAAAGATACATTTATAAAGGCCTCTATTACAATCTGTGTGTGTCACTGCTAAGATAAAAAATACTTGGTTTTAACAGTTCATCTGCAGAGAATTGTTTGTCCAGTTCATAATAAGGAGTGGCATGAAGGTAAATTTGTAATCTTTGTACAAGAAATTTCTTGTTTCAACTGCCAAAACAGGCTACCTTGTTTAAAGCTCCTTGTTGGTCCCTCTAGATGCATCTAAAGATATAACTGTCCCCTGCACAGATAGGGACAGGCTGATGACCTGCTGCTCATGTCCATGAGGCCACCTGTGTTACAGGAATACTAAGAGCACTTTTCCCATAAACTACTCCCAAGAATGCAATGCTGTTGGAAGTCTGAAACACTACCACAGACCATCCCCAGTCCAACAGTCTCCCAATTCGATTTGGACCTTTTCCCACTTCAGCTGCATTTTTAAAATTTTTTAATAGATTTGATTTACTTATTTTGCAGAGGGAGAGAGATGATGAGAGTGAGAGCACAGGCAGGGGGAGGGGCAGAGGGAGAGAGAGAAGCAGGCCCCCCGCTGAGCAAGGAGCCCAAAGCGGACTCAGTCCCAGGACTCTGGGATCATGACCTGAGCGGAAGGCAGGCACTTAACCAACTGAGCCACCCAGGCGCCCTCAGCTGCATTTTTTCATCCATGGTCCCACTACACTGAGATGGCTCCATGAAGCCCCGCACTCCCAGAATGGCTACTTCACAGCTCCTCAGAGCTGCAAGGCTCTTTGGTCCCACATCCTCACTCGACAGCTGAGGAGATGAGCCATCCTCCCTACCAGATGAATCATCCTCCCTACCAGATGAACGAACCATCCTCCCCACCAGATGAACCATCCTCACTCAGCCACTGCTTGGAATCCCTCCAAGGCTCCCCACTACTGACTTCCATCTTGCCCGCATATGTTCATCCCTACATTCTAGGAAAACCAAACTATTCTTTATTCCTCACACTCACCTGGAATTTTGTTGCTAACACTGAACCTTCTACCTGGAATGCTCTGCCCCTTTCCAAATACCCCCCCAGGTCCCACTCTTAGAGATCCAGGTCAGATGCCACCCCCTCCCCAAGGTCTTCTTGCAGTCAGCCAGAAATGACATCTCCTTGGGAGTTTCCACTGTGCGTTATCAAACCCCTATTGCGTCTCCCACACCTGCATCAGTTACTCGTGTCCAGGGAATAATCTCTTCGGCTCAGTATGGAGGGCTGGTTCTTGTCTGTCTCTACACCTCCAGTTTCTAGCAGAGCGCCTGACACAAATAACTGCTGAGCAAATATTTAATGAATGAGGGAATGAGAAGCTCAAGCCCAGGGAGGAGAGAGCGGCTGGGTTTTTCCAGCACATAAATCATATTAATAGTCCAGAATGCCAAAGTAATATCACCATCCCCCAAATCTAGTATTTTATAATACTAATTACTTGTTTTATTATCCCTATGCATTCAGTGAGAGCGATAGGCTTAAAAAACCTCTTCAGCAAGACCAGTTTTCTAGTCCTGGTGCTGCTACTTAATAGCTGTGTGACTTGGGGGCTGAGTCTCTCTCTCCCTGTCCACTCGGTTCCTCCATTTGTAACAAAGAAGGGTATGGATGCGCTCTACTGGTCCTTCGAGTTGTTCACATCTGACAGGTGGTGCAAACAAGGTTGTGTGGGAGCCCAGAGGTCCTCCCCGCCATCCCCAGCACACCTCGCTCGAGCCCGGGGGCGTCTCTCCCACCGGTGGCAGCTGCCGGGGTCCCGGGGTCGCCCTGGCCTCGCAGCTGCAGTCCCTCCGGCCAGCTTCCACGGGCCCACTTCATCGGCTCTCGGGAGAGGTCACAGCGCAGCCGCCCGCCACCGCTCAGCGCCGCCCTCCGGCGCCAACGCCAGCCCCGCCGCGCGCCCCGGCGCCCCCTGTCGCCGCCGCACGCGCTCGCGGCTCCCGCCCTGGCCCGCGCCACCGCCGGGGTTCACAGCCCTCACTCGGAGGAGCCGCGACAAGGCACCTGCCCTGCGCGCGCACACGCACACACGCACACACACAGCGGTCAAAGCGCAGCCCCAGCGCAGAACCTGACCATGACTGCGGCCCGCCCCCGGCCACTGGGACACTCTTGCATCGAACTTTCTATGTGCTAGGCGCAGCAATTTCTAAGTTTACACGTCTTGTTGAGCCCGGAAATGTTCGTGGACGTTCGTCACGAATGCACACTGCCCCGCTAGAAGTATACACCCTTCCAGCGCTGCACAAATTCCTTTACCCAGGAAAGGACCCTCAGTGCCTGTGCTCCAGGAAAGCATCTCGGTCTTTAACTCAGCAAAGGTGGAAGGAGGGAGTGGCCTTAGAAAATTTCCCTGCTCCCCACCACACACACACGTACACAATGAGGGCTTATGAACCTGATCCAGAGCCCAAGGGCTATGAGGACACACATGGACCCCTGCTCCCTTTGGACCCCTCCCTATCACAACCCTCTAGCCTAAGATCGACTTCAGAACGGGAAGAGGAGAGAAAAGAGAAAGGAGAGAGGAGGGACTGCCAACACCTCCAACAGCCAGGTACTAGTTTCTCCCAGTGCAAGTTTACCTGGCTCCTGATGGGATGGGGCCTTCCTTAAAGACAAGCCACTCTCCGGCAGCCCGTTCCCCCCCTCACCTCTTCTGCCCTTCCCCTACCAAAGGTCGGTTCTGCCGGTCCCTTATTCAGCATGACTTAGGTGCATGTGACAGAGCAGGGCCTAACTGACCCTCTTTTAGGCCAGATAGGCCAGCAGAGGCTTCCAGGAAAAAAGCCATGCAAATTTAAAAATAAAGCTGGGCATGAAGAGTATCTCTTTTCTTACTGCTAAAAAAGGGAGGCCAGGAAGACTAGCCAGCTAAGTAAGGAAAGCCTAGTGGACTGCTAAGTGAACTTTTTGAAACTCTGTACAGGACTCTCCTTCAAACAAGTCATAACCTAGATTTTTACTCTGATTTAAATGGAATCTCAGCTAAAAGGAGGGATTCAAAGGCTGAAATAGCTTGCTAATTTTATGTGTTTTGCCACAGTGGGATAAGAATTATGTAAAGATGCAGCTGCCTTTATAAAGGAATCAGGTTCTGTTATGAAAATTAAGGGTGAATCTGCATGGTTTGAAATCTGGGTCTGGTTTTGGCAACTTTGGAGACATAGAGAACGTAGAAAGACATGGAAAGCATGAGGGATCTAGATATAATCACTGGCAAAGTGGAAATTAGAACACTTGAGAGACTAGCTTTGGGTGATTTTTTTTTTTGAGCTTATATTTTTATTACATATTTCCTATGTAATATATTTTTAGAGTTCTACGCTGAATCAGATATGCCTTTTAATACCCGTTGAATGTCTCAAAGAGAAAGCCATAAACATGCATTTGCTTTATGTTCCCTAGCTATTTCAATTGAGTCATCACTGAAAGAAGTGGTTCATGATTTTCTACAGGAGAGTTATTGTGAGCATTTATAAAGCCATCCTGCTTATGAGTTAAATTTATTATGTTTGCCAGGTTAATCTGTTTTCTCTAATCGGACACTTAATCATCCAGTCTCCTCTCTGTATTATGGATTCATGAATGTGAACGAAGGAGGATTGCTCAGTCAGGACAAAATGATGAATTCTCATTTCTTTTTGGGGGGTATTTGTGATTAAATGCATCATAATAGAATTAAAATGAAATAAATCTTATAATTTTACTTCTAGATCCCTGCCAGGTATAGATAAAATACATTCAGTTTAAGAGTAAATTCAATTTGATGCCTGAGTGAAATTTGTAGGAAAAACAGAGAGAACTTTGTAGTTCAGGAGAACCCTGAGTTCTCTCTTCCTTTCTACAGACTGGAGTGACAGTTAATCAATCAGTGGTATTCTATGGATGAGCAGTCCAGAATTCAAATTTCCAGTCAGAAAGAATGAGGAATTAACCTTGGGCAGTTATAACCAAACTTTACCTGAATCCAGGGTTGTAATCCTGGGATCTCATGGGCTGCACATGGTATACAATGGGAGCCAAAGTCAGCTTATCACCCAATTACCGTTTTCCATTACTTTGGCTGTTCTATTAACTGAAGCACCACGTGCATGGCACCCTCAGTTATTGTCTACTTGAGTTGGAACAGTTGAAACACGTTGAAATAAGCCTAATGGAGATGATTTCATCATGTTTGTTTTTAAATGAATAAAGTCCACATTCTAGCAAAAGCCTGGTGATTTAACAAATCATTATTTGCCTTATTAATACATGGGGACTAAAACCAATTGGCATTGTGTGATGTCAGACAGCGTGCTCAAGACAACTTTTTTGTGTGTGGATATTTACACACACACACACACACACACACAATCGGCAAAGTACTTTCATATCCGTGGTCTCATTTGATCCTCACAACAAACCCATGACTCTTCAGGTCCTGGCAGTTGCCCTTGAGGCCTGAGCCATGAAGCTCCTCACTCATTGTCTGTGGGGATTGGACCAAGACCAGGCCTCTTAGTGGAGAGTTCTTCCTCTACCCAGACTCTCTTTTGTATTGGACAGTGAAAGCGAAGGCTTCCTTCTAAATTAAACAAACAAATAAGACAAAACAAAACTAGAAAGACACCCACGTGCAAAACACCACAAAAACAAAAGGCCTGTACAAATATGAGGTAAATGAGGTCTAGGGCAAAAGACGGTCTTAAAAAAATCTCCTGGCCTCAGCTGAGATATTTGCTGGGGTGACACAGAGTCTGTGGGCTAGGTGAGCATAGTGAGAGTTGAGACAGCCACTCAAATAGTCCCACTCCTGCACCCTGAAATCCATGTTATTAAAGTAAAAGCTTTTTTCTTGACTGCAATATCCAGGCTCATGTCTGTTCAGACTAGATTTTTATACAAGGTGCTCGAGCCTCTCATTCTGTCTGCTTTGTATAGTCTCATTCAGTATGATCGGATCTAGAAACCTGTTTCCCTAAAGAGTCCTCATGCAGTGCACATCCGGGCTGTGCGATCTCTCTAGGATTACTGCTTCTGAAGGGTCATGTGCTTCTGAAATTACTGAGCTTGGTAAATTAGGCTGAACAAAGTCTCTGGGGCCACCCAGAGGATAGGTAGAGAAAAGAGCAATTTAATGAAGCCCAGGTCAGAGGCACACAGAAACACAGAAGGAAGGAAAGGGGTGTACTTTCTATAGAAGAAGTTGCCCGCATTCCACCAAAAAAACACAAAACGAAGCAAAACAAAACAACAGAAAAGCCCTGACCAGTGAGTTAAGAGTCTTGGGTTCTAATCCCAGTTCTACCACTTGCTAGCTGTATGACACGGCACATGTTCCTTGTGTGAAATAGGAGAAATAACACCTAGCCTGCCATTCTCATAGATCCGTGGAAAGGTCTTTAAAATATACAAAAAGCTTAATATGAGTAAGAAAGAATAAATTCAAATTATGCTTGGTCAATAGATACAACACAGGATAACCTTGGAAATGACACTTAAATTTCACCATATTCAGGGAGAGAAATGGCTCAATATTATATTCCTAGTCCTACTTTCCCTATTTGCCTCTTCCCATTTTAAATTCAGAGCCAGTTGTCTTATTTATTCATTGTAACATTTACACAGTATAAACATCTGCCACTTAAAAGTGATACTGACAATGTAGTTAAGCCTTTATTGTCTTCTATTAGTCTAATAAATGAAAGCACATCACCAAAAAGAGGCCACAGATATAAATTATTTCAGGGACGTTGCCCGAAGGGAAAATCATACAATACATCTGGGAAAAGGTAATTCTGACTTGGTCCTCTATAAAATGCTAAATTTCTGCATAAAATCTCACAACACAAGTGTTTACAGGACTCTCGGTGACAAGAAAAGCAATAGTAAATGCGTCTCAGAACTAAAATTCCTGTATCCATGGAAACCTGTGAAGTTCTCTAAGCACACACACGCAGCCTACGGATTTATTGAAGGGCTGAGGCAGCGATCAGGAGGTTACTACGCTGTGCAAAGCTGACAGATTGCTGGGAGGTGCTCAGCACAGGCGTGGATGTTTTTCTCCTGCTAAGTGTAATTACAGAGAAATTCAGAAATCTCCAGCCATGATGCAGGAAAAAAAAACATGTTTATATATTTATAGGTACTTCTATCTCTCAGAATATGGTGTCCTTAAGCCAGATATTTGACCAGAAAAGGCTCGAGAAACCATCAGCGTTTTCTCCCTTCTCCCTCAAATTTTTAGCTACGTTCAGAAAGTCTTTAGATTTTCCATGTGGGCAGATTCAGATATTTCTTGATTGGTGGGACAAAAATGCCATGAGTTTTTATCAGACTGATTATTTCTGGGAATTTGAATATGTTCCTGGTCAGTGCTTCCAAATGTATAATTGCTTTAAAGGCAAAGAGCATAAAAATTTGGGAAAGAAAGAATCTTCTACAGATATTTGAAGTGTTTACATAGCCAAGGACCAATATTCTGATAAAATAAAAGGAATAATATTCTGATAAAGTAAAAGGAATAGAGGCATATTCACACAGTGTTCTATTTTTTAAAACATACATATCATCTCATTTAGGGCCAACATCAGTCTTAATGGGTGCTGTTCTCCCATTTTCCCTTTCATTACCAAGTCCTGGATTCTCTCTCAAATATTATTCTAGATTTTAATGACTTAGAAATGGTCTGTGTTTTGGTTGAAATACACTGAAACAGGTAACACTGTTGAGTTCTTAAAAAGATGTTGTGCTTTGGGGCACCTCAGTAGGTTAGGTGCCCGACTCTTGATTTCCGCTGGGATGGTGATTTCTGGGTCGAGTGACTGAGCCCCACGTCGGGCTCCATGTGCTCCGCGTGGAGTCTACTTGAGATTCTCTCTCTCCCTCTGCCCTTCCCCCAACTCACATGTTCTAAATA